TCCATGAAACTTACTTACTGGTGTGTCAAGAACTGACTGGAGATAGAAATTAGAGATATCAGTCTGGGACTTTCAAAGATGTAATATAAGTCTGATATGGTAGCTATTAAATTGCCTTTTAAAGGGAATGTCAAACTGAGTAGTAAACTTCCAAGGGAAGTTTCATTCTTTCAATAGTTATTGAGAACCGGCTGTGTTTGACACCCTGTGTTAGAACAGAGATACAATGGTGAGAAAAAACACAGGTCCCCGGACTAATAGAAGTTTTTCATCTAGATGAGAAGACAGTTATTAATCAGAAATCATACAAACAAATATAAAACTACAAGTATGACAAGTGCTACAATGGAGGGGTGCATGGTGCTATGAGTGTGTAATAGGATATAATGGATTCTGATTGTATTCCCAGCATCTACTTTACCCATACTTCACAGAGTAACATTAATGGGATTCAGATGGGATTAACATCATTTCCAGTTCCAGGGACAGGCCCTGATCTGCCTCAGCCAATCAGTGCTTGACATTCTCTAGACCACAAAACTCTAGGTTTAGGGGTGAACAGTTCAATCACAGTGAAACTGTGAAATATGTGAAAGAAACTCTCTTTTGATATGAAAAGAACTACATAACCTTGGGAGCTCCTGGCCACCATTTTATGATATAAACGGAGTAAGCCTTGGGATGAATCTGACAGCAGAAAGAAAAATTGAGGGGCAGAAAGAAATCAAGTTCTTGCTGATACTGTTAAGTCACTCAATCAAATCAACCCTGAGATTCACCTTATCTTCAGATTTTTCATTTATATGAGCCAATAAATTCTCTTATCATTTAAACCAGTTTAAATTGGATTTTTTGGTGCTTGTAACATTCCAAGAGGGATTTGATTGAATCAAAACTTCTGTCAAAGAAAAAAAAACAAAAAAGTCCAGGGGATTTGTAGTAGTTAGGGAGTCCAAGAAGGCTCCTCCAAAGAAGTAATAATAATGGCAACATTTGAAAGATAAAATGGGAGTTATGAGGACATGATTGGTGGGAAAGAAAGCTCCAGGCCAGGCTTCCCCAAACTACGGCCTGTGGGCTGCACGCGGCCCCCTGAGGCCATTTATCCGGCCCCCTTCAGGAAGGGGCACCTCTTTCATTGGTGGTCAGTGAGAGGAGCACAGTATGTGGTGGCCCTCCAACGGTCTGAGGGACAGTGAACTGGCCCCCTGTGTGAACTGGCCCCCTGTGTAAAAAGTTTGGGGACGCCTGCTCCAGACAAAGAGAATACCTGTGCAAAGACACTACAGCAAACCACAGGCATGAGTCTGAAAATAGCGTGCGGGTTCTAAGATGCTGCTGGAGAGGTAGGCAGAAGCAGGATGAAAAGGGCCTGTTAAGTCACTGAAAGGATTCTGGCCACTGACAGCTTTTTCATAACACATAGGGGTAGATAGAATAGGATACATCCTATAACGCACAGGACAGCCCCTCACAACAAATTGTCAATGGTGCTTAGAGTGAAAACCCTGCTCTAGGAAACTAACCTATAAAGATACTGGCACACATAAAACACCTTTTGCACAATCATTTATTGTTTGAAATTACAAACCATTGGAAATGACACAAATATACACATACAAGAGATGAGTTAAATAAATTAGAGTACATCTGTACAGTTAATGAGGAATTTTACTTGGCTACTTTGAAAGCCAAATACCTCCAGCCAGCAACACACCAACTACTCGGTCCACCGGGTGGTGTCTGGCTTGTGCTCAGGCACCAATCCTGCAGCCACTATGGCTGTGTGCTCAGACCCTCGCAGGAGGGGGTGAGTGAGCTAGTGCAGGGCCTGGCTACAGTGCCAGCACAGGAACAGGCTCTGTGCAGGGTTTGCAGCTAGACCATGCGTGTCCCACTGAGGGAAATGTGGTGGCACCCAAACACGGGTGCTCATGACCCTGAGGCCCCAGAGGGGGTGTTACAGCATGCTAAGAGCTCTTTTAGTTCTGCCATCTGCAGGCCAATGGATGGTGGCAAGTTAACAGCTCTGTCAGTCCCTCTGCCCTGCTCAGGCCCATGGCTTCAGGACTGGGTCTGCCCCACTGCTGCTTCCCATCGCATCACATGGGCAGCTGCCCTCCAGCAGCAGAGGGCGGAGGGCCACAGTGTTACAGCCTTCTTTGTATTCATGTTTGGTGGGTCCCAAGTTTTTGTTCCATGTCCAAGAATGAGGTTATGCTGACAATCAAAGGGTGAGGAGGGTGGAGAAGAGTTTTTTGTTTGTTTGTTTTTTTGAGACTGAGTTTAGCTTTTGCTGCCCAGGCTGGTGTGCAATGACACGATCTTGGCTCACTGCAACCTTGGCCTCCAGGGTTCAAGCAATTCTTCTGTCTCAGCCTCCTGAGTACCTGGGATAACAGGCATGTGCCACCATGCCTGGCTCATTTTGTATTTTCCGTAGAGATGGAGTTTCTCCATCTCTACTGGTCTTGAACTGGTCAGGCTGGTCTCGAACTCCCGATCTCAGGTGATCCACCTGCCTCGGCATCCAAAAGCGTTGGGATTACAGGCATGAGCCACCATGCCTGGCTGGAGAAAAGTTTTATTTGAACAATGAAAACAGCTCTCAGTGGAGAGAGGATGCAAGGATGGTCCCTCACGCAAAGTTGGGTGGTCTCTCTCTCAGTGTGGCTGAATCCAGGGCTTTTATGGGCTCAGAATGAAGGAATGCATGCTGATTGGTTTGTGAGTATGCAAAAAAGGCTAAAAAACAGCACTACTCAAAGGTAGGCATGACAGAGTAAAAAAATGATTAGGGAAGGGTAAGTATATGTAAAATATGTGAAGGGTGGGGATCAATCAGAGGGAAGCATGCCAAATGGGAAGACTGGTTCTCAATCCAGTTTGTGGATTTACCCGGGACTTGTGGCTAGCCTTTAAACCATCCTTGGCCTGAAGGTAGGGTTTCACTGGGTACCTGCCCGTCTGCCTAGGATTTGTTTGCCTCTTGCAGCTATCACAATGGGATACCATGTAACCATTAAGTAGAATGAGTTAGCTCTATATATATACTTAACCAAAATTATTGCCAAGATATACCCAAAAAATACAAAAAATAAAAAGGAAGGACAAGAATAGTATTCCATTACAGTCATGTGTCCCTTAACAATGGGGATACTTTCAGAAAAATGCAGGATCAGGTGATTTTTTTTGTTGTGTGAACATGAGAGTGTACCTAAACAAACCTAGATGGTGTAGTCTCTGGTGCCAGAAAGGTTGGGGACCTCTGTAGTAGGAAGGAGAGTTAGATTTTCCTAAGTAGTGCACAACTTTCCCTCCACAGAAGGGGAGTTAGATTTCCTAAGTGGTGCACAACCTAGATTCCTTGCATGTGCAGTTTACAAAAGGGTTCTCCCTCCTACAGGAATCTACTGCCCCTGCTGATCTGACAGGGAATGGAACTCGGGCTGAAATGTTGGCTCCCCCGCCACTCACCTCCTGCTATGCTACTCAATTTCTAATAGGCCTCAGACCACTACTGGACCACAACATACACATTTATATATAGTTACCTGCATATGCACAGAATGTCTCTGGGACAGGACTAAATACATACTTTGTGGGCCCAGTGCAAAATAAAACTGCATGGCCCTTGTTCAAAAACTTTTCTGAATTTCAAGCTAGTGATAACAAAACATTAAACCAAGTACCTATCTGTAGAGGTAACATCCATAAAACCAGCCCTGCTCTGGCAACATACACAGGAAAATGGAATAGTGGTGATTCCAAGAGGAAAATACCATGAGAGACAAGAGGAACAGATTAAAAGAAGACTTACTTTTCACTATATACCTTTTTCTGTCTTTTTAATTTTGTATGTGTAAAGGCATTATTTATTCAAAACAAATAAACAAAAAAAAAAGAATAAAACCGGGAGACTGGGGGCTTATTGGGTTAGCAACTCTTTGAAGTGGAACTTTGATGACTGCCTGAAGCAAAGAACATCCGCTGGGGAAAATGTGGTTGTGGGGCACCCTCAGACTTGAGCAAGCACTGGGCCCTGTGATTTGGAGGGGTCTGAAGTCCATGGAATCATGGGACTGAAGCCACCTGCAGCCAACTCTCCCTTTTTCAGACCATGCTGTGGGCACTCTAGAGTTGCCTATCCCAAAAGCTAAGCCTGACTCCAGGGTATGCATACTCCTCCTCCCAAGTTCAGCCTTCCTGAGAAGTAACCAGAAGGCTGGAGTGTCTAACATCAGGCTCAAAAACTGTGTGAAGCATTCTCTGAATCTTCCAAGGCTGAAATGTTATTTTCTCTGAGGTCAAAATACATTTTGTCCACATTCATCACATCAATTAACTGGCTCTATTGTTATGTACTATATCATGATAACTTAGTTCAAGTACATTTTCTGAGGTCTCCTATAGATTAAAAAAACAAACAAACAAAACAGCAACTAGGAAGTCCCATTTGGGCACCCCTCTCTGTCAAAATGAGATAAAGCTGTTTTGAGGGCTGGGCGGGCTTGGTGGCTCATGCCGGTAATGCCAGCACCTTAGGAGACCTAGGCGGGCGGATCACCTGAGGTCGGAAGTCTGAGACCAGCCTGACCAACATGGAGAAACCCCGTCTCTACTAAAAATGCAAAATTAGCCAGGCGTGGGTGGCACATACCTGTAATCCCAGCTACTTGGGAGGCTGAGGCAGGAGAATCACTTGAACCTGGGAGGCAGAGGTTGCGGTGAGCTGAGATCACGCCATTGCACTCCAACCTGAGCAACAAGAGGAAAAATCCGTCTCAAAATTCAAACAAAAAAAACTGTGAATCCAGATTTTGAAATAATTATCAGCGCGTGTGTTCTGTACACTGACCCATGTTGTAGAGCTGAAGGGTGTCCACCCATAAGTGATCTGGTCAAAACATAAGCACGTTTTAACAAGACCATTGATTAACTATGACTACAACTCCCAAAATGCACTGCAGGGTCGGTCAGCGTGCGTGACTCGCCTGGTTTTCACTGAAGTGGCTAACAGGCTGCACAGAAGTGACAGCTGAACAAGCTGAGAGACTGTATTAAAGAACGAATATAGCTGGGGTGGGGAGCGGGCGTCTGTGGTCCCAGCTACTCCGGAGGCTGAGGTGAGAGGATCGACTGAGCCCTAAAGGCGGAGGCTGCAGTGGGTCGACATCGCGCCGCTGCACTACAGACTGGCCGACAGAGAGAGACTGTCGACAACAACAACAAAATGAACAAAGAGATTCTACAAAGAGCTAGCTGGGATTGAAATAAACGACACGCTACTACGACCCAGTGCGTGAACCGTATCCACCCCGCAATGTGCGACAATAGCCTCAAGACCCCTACAGAGACAGCAGGAAACACCTGAGAGAACCTGAATTATCAGAACAATGACAGATGTGTTTCCAGGAAAGCAGCTCCCCGCTACTTCCCTAAACTTATCTGCAGATTTACTTTCCAAGGTTACAAACACGGGAAGAGCACTGTATTTTCATGAAGCGGAAAATGTGTTTTCCAATCGCCAGCTATTAAGAGCCTAACTGGTGAAACGCTCTGAGGGAAACAGGAAACTGCCAACACACTTTTGCACGAACCTCCTGGAGAGTTGTGTGCACAGACACTTCCTGGGCAGATGCTTAATTGTAACAGAGTCCATAACGAGGTTTAGGGCTTCTACCGGCTGAACGAGTTCTACGTTCTTTTTCACAGAAAGGTTTAAGTTTTTTTCCCCTCTGGCGGACGGAGTGAACTTCCTTCCATCAAGGTATGCGAGCACTTTTTTCCTTTCTTTCTGTACCTGGTTACTCTGGTTCAAGGCTTCGTACTTCCCCGGTTTGCTTTGCTTTTTCCTCAGAACTGAGTTCCCGCGAACGTCCGACTCTGGTACCCGCCAGCCTATAACCTGACGAAAAGCGGAGCCTCTCGCGGCGCATGCCGGGAAGATCGCGAGAACCTCCTGCCCAATTGCGATCCCGCGCCAGGAGGCGGGGCCGAAGAGGAGGAAGTCGGGCCGAACAGGAGGAAGTCTCGCTGAAGCACTCCCGCCCCAGTCGTGTGCCCTTCCTCGCGAGAACGCCGAGCATTCCGGCCGGGGAAGCGCATGTAGAAGCGGAGGTGGGGTTCATTGGACTCGTCGGCCGCCGTAGCCCCTGCTAGGACAGCCCGTGCGAGCTTGCTGGAGGAGGAAAAGAAAGGCAGAGAGAGTCGGGTTACAAGATGGCGGATCTGTAGTAGTTACTGCGGCGGCGCCGGCGGCGGTGGGAGAGCGAGCGAGCCCTGGGGGGCAAAGGGACGGGAGGGTGGGTGTATGCGGGGGTGAAGTGAGAGGTAACAGGGCATCCGGGCGGAGGGGTCTCAGTGGCTCTTGTCACCCCTTCTCGCGGCTGAACCTCTGGAGCCATGGTGAATTCGGGCCTCTCCGGAGCCGCCGCCGCCACTACTGCCTCTACCGTCTCTCAAGAGTGAGGGGCACGGACGAGGTGAGCGAGGAGGCGGCGGCTGGAGCAGCGGAGACGGCAGCCACCATGTCGGATACGCGGCGGCGAGTGAAGGTCTATACCCTGAACGAAGACCGGCAATGGGACGACCGAGGCACCGGGCACGTCTCCTCCACTTACGTGGAGGAGCTCAAGGGAATGTCGCTGCTGGTTCGGGCAGAGTCCGACGGTAAGGTTATCGGAACGGTAGAATAGGGAATAGTGCCTCTGCTTGGGGCACAGTCTGGGGTTTAAGGCCCTGAGCCCGTTACCGTTGCTACCACTTCGGGACAGCGCGTTGGTTCTGAGCTGCAACTTGTGTACGCCAAAAACAAACTACAGTACTTTTGACTGGACTTACCCTCAGAGGCTGAGACTCTGTCTGCCTCCCATGCCTCATAAGGATTGGACTCCTTCCTTTACAGTTCCTCCTCTTTTGAAGAGGGGAGAGTGTAAGAGAAGGGAGGAAGTAGTGAGAGACTAGGTACTGATGTCGCCGTTGGAGCTGACACCCTGCTCCCCCTTTATTTATTTTCCTATCCATTATACGTCTAGTACAAAAGGTTTAGCGAAACTTTTCTTTCCGAGTGTCGTTAAATAAAATTTACCAATGGGCCCCAGGTGTCACAGTCGGCGGGTGCTGGGGAAAACCAAAAGGCACCTTTTCCTGGCTGCATTGCTGACTGTTACCACGATACATGGACATACAAGCATATACATTTTTAGTCTGGGATTTCTTCGGGCTGCCTTTGAGGCGCTATGAAAAAGTGAATGCCTTGCAGTCTAAGCAAGTTGGGACACCAAAGCAGGTTGTAAACTCCTATTCTTTTTTTTTTTTATTGTAGTCATGTGAAGTATTTTAAATTACAAAATGTAGAACCGTAATTAAAACGCCTTTTGTACTGTAATCTGGACTTGATTTGAACAACTGATATGGGCAGTTAGAAAACTAATCTTAAGATTTGTTCTTGACATATTTTGTTTTCTTGCACGTTCCCTTTTATCTTAAATAGTCAACACTTATTTCTATAGAAGGTCTTCTTTTGTTCTTAATGAGAAAAGAATAAATGCAGCGCTTTAATTTGTATACCAAGTATTTAATCCCTGTCATGGTGTTTTTTGTTTCTGTTTTGTAATTTGCTTTATTTGTTAAACTGGGAATACAATAAAACAACTTTTACTTTAAAAACGGCTTGAAGTGGTCATTTAGACCTTAAAATTTTTATTTCAGTAAAATTTTAGTAGCCATCTAGTCTCCTGATTCCTTGGTTTGAATGTTGGTTTTAAATGAATTTTTTTCTTTAAGGGTGTATGGGAATAGTAAGAAATATTCTAAATTAAATATGAAGCCTAGACTTGGAGAGAAAATGTGAATTCGAATACATTTTATTACTTCAGATATCCAGTTGGGTAAAAAGACATGAAAAGGTTGGGGTGCGTGTGTAGTTTTTTTTTTTTAATTTTAATGGGTTTTTGGTTTTTTTTTTGAGACGGAGTCTTGCTCTGTCACCAGGCTGGAGTGCAGTGGCGCAATCTCAGCTCACTGTAACCTCCTTCTCTTTCTTAAGCGATTCTCCTGCCTCAGCCTCCCCAGTAGCTGGGACTACAGTCGCATGTCACCATGCCCAGCTGAGTTTTGTATTTTTAGTAGAGACAGAGTTTCACTGTGTCTGCCAGGATGGTCTCGATGTCTTGACCTTGTGATCTGCCTGACTCGGCCTCCCAAAGTGTTGGGATTACAGGCATGAGCCACCATGCCTGGCCTTAATGGGTATTCTTATTTTTATTTAGGATTTTATCATTTGACACTTATGATATATTATTTTTTATCTTTCAGGATCACTACTCTTGGAATCAAAGATAAATCCAAATACTGCATATCAGAAACAACAGGCAAGTAGTTGTTTATCTTTAATTTGAAAGACCATCTGTGATCAAGGAAGTATTAATCTGACAAAGGTGGGAAAGCTTTCCTGACAAGAAAAAACATGTTTAGTAAACAAAGATCATGTGTATTTCTCTTGCAGGTTAAAAGTTTCAGACTGAAAAGTGAGTTTTTGTACTGGTGATAATTATCACCATTTTTGAATTGAACCACTGTCAGTTTATATTAGACTATGATGTATTAGTATTATTTAAAGTTAGCCAAGACTCTTCTATACCTTGTATATGAAACCTTTTATTCTGAGTCACGTTTAAAGGAAATGACGTAAAAGAAAATTCAAAGGGATACTCTTAAGAAAGCCTGTTTGTGGTCTGAAATTAAATCCTTTGACTTAAGTAAAGATAGAGGTTTTGAAGTAGAAACATTAAATTCTGCTCTTTAATTGTTGTATATTTTTATTATAGTAATCAATGGATACTTTATAAAAGTGTACATTGCCAATTATGTACCATCTTTTGTTAATATTTATTGTTTTATTTGGGAAAGAAAATGTGTGTTGTGTTTTAGCATGCCTGATTAATCTGAAAATGATAGTGGTGATTCAACCTTTTTATTCTGTGAATGTTTTTTTTATTATGAAATATATTAAAATTGAAAAGTACAGAGAATAATGGGGGTCTACTGTAACCACCAGATTTAACAATGTTAACATTATATCATACTTGTTTCAAATACTTTTGTAATATTGAACATTATGGGTAGAGTTTAAAAGCTTGTTTGTATCCATCCCGTTCTCTCCATTCTCCATCCTCTACATAGGTAACCACTATTCTGAAGTTGATGTGTATTCTTTGTGTACATGCTTTTATACCTTTTCTGCATATGTATGTATCCATAAATAATATGTAGTCTGTTGTGTGTTTTTAAACTTTACACAGTTGATACCGTACTTTTACATGTATTCTGCAGCTTGCATTTTTCACACATTCATTTTGAATATTTATTCATGTTAACAATGTAGATCTAGTTTTCTTTTTAAACTCTGTATAGTATTCTTATGTATGACATACACCTGTTGTTATACATTTGAATTATTTCTAGGTATTTTGTGTGTGTGGTATGTAAAGTCACAATGGCAGAGATTTTTGAAGGAAGATAAATTATTTTAGGATTACATTTACAGCATCAGTACCCACTTTCTTCAAGGTTTATGAAAATTTGGATGCCCAGAAACAAGTACTTCATAGTTGGAGGAATAAAATTCTGTCTGTTGTGCAGTTCATTAATACAAAGTCTTACTGTTAAACAATTGTTTTATGTATACAACACATTCTTAATCAGTTCTTTGAAATACTTCAAAATTTTCAATATTCAATTAATAGCTTTTTTCTCTGTTTAGAAAATATTGTGTGTCTTTTTTGATGGAGAAGCAAATTAAACATTTGTCCTGAATTGAAAATCTGAAGATGTTTCCTATACCTTAGACATTTTAAGGTAGACATTTAAGTAAATTTAATTTTTAAGTGAGCTGGGCAGTTCTTAACTCTGTCTTTATACTGAATTTTTACCAGATAATCACTTTTGGTTTATTTTTGTTTGCTTGCTTCTTTGTGGGAAAAGAAATACTAATTTTTTTAACCATATTTCCCTTATCTGCATAAATATAAAATTATCAGGAACTTTTTATTAAATGTAACTAAATCATAAATAGTTCCCTACACATTTAGTTATAATAATGGATTCTTCAGATTGTATATAAGATCCTTTAGCTGTTGGAAAGATCACATTATGGAGTAGGGTTGTAGTCGCCCAACGTAAGTTAAAAATACACAGTGGTTCTCTGAATACTTTAGAATCATTAGGACATGTAGGTAATTTCGTGTATAATGTTACTGCACTAAAAAAATTAGTTCTAAATAATTAGCATTTTTGTATACACTAAGTATAAAGTATTGGAGAAAAACTTGTATTTTAAAAAATTACACCATTTGGAAGTGTTTTCTGTAATTACAAATAGTATACTATTTGGGCTTTTTTAAATTGTGGGGTTTTTTGTTTGTTTTTTTGCTATGTAACATTGACATATGTAAGAAAACTCTGGTAATGAGAAGAATATGGAAACACAGTGTAGAAGAATGAAAAACTAGTATGAATGAGTTTACCTGTTTATTTTTGTTCAAATTGAGTTCACTTTTCTAATTGAAATCATAGGGCCACTTAGGAGTTATGTTAAATTTAGTTTATTTGTAATGTATATGGTTTTTTACATTTTCGCCCAAATCTTCAATTTGCACTTTTAAAAATAATTTTTTGAGAGGGTCTTCTTCTGTCACCTAGGCTGGAGTACAGGTGTGATCACAGCTCACTGCAACCTCAACCTCCTGGGCTCAAGCAGTCCTGCAGTTCAGCTTTCATGAACCACCACGCTAGGCTAATTAAAAAAAAAAAAAATGTTAAATATCGGATATCATGTTGTCCAGGCTAAATTTGCACTTAAAAAATATATATTTTATTAAAAAACTTTTTTTCTTTTGGTTTTTATAGAGATGGAGTCTTATTATGTTGCCCAGGTTGATCTTGAATTCCTGGCCTCAAGGAATTCAAGATCTACATGGGTGCTTATGCTTCAGCACCCTCGAGGTGTTGGGATTACAGGTGTGAGCCACTGTATTCAGCCTAAATTGCAGTTTTTGGAAGTTACACAAATTGGGATTTCCAAATAAGTAATATTTTTCTATGTTTGTTAGAATTATCCTTTGTAAAAGGCATCATTTAGGTTATTCAATAAAGTAGAAAGTTATTAATTTCCAGATTTCACATGAAGTCTGTAGTTCATTAGAGGAGTTAAAATTTTTTTTTAATTTTTTTTCAGAGATGGGATCTTGCTATGATGTCCAGGCTGAACTCAAACTCCTAGGCTCAGGTGATCCTCTCACCTCAGCTTCTTCAGTAGCTGGGACTATAGTAATGAGTTAAAAAGAAATTTTGTTTCCATTAGTGAGTTGTTTATTAAAAACTTAATGAGTAAATGAATGAGATGTTTATAGGCCATTTTGCTGTATTAAAATACATTGACTATGCCAGGCATGGTGGCTCACACCTGCAGTCCCAGCACTTTGGGAGACCTAGGCAGGAGGATTCCTTGAGCTCTGGTGAGAACAGCTGCACAACATAGCAATATCCCTGTCTCTACAAAAAAAAAGAAAATTCAAAAATTAGCCAGGTATGGTGGTGCATACCTATAGTGCCAGCTACTTTGAGAGCTGAGATGGGAGGATCATTTGAGCTTGAAAGGTCGAGACTATAGTAAACCGTGATCGTGCCACTGCACTCCAGTCTGTGAGACAAAGTGAGGCCCTGTCTCAAAAAAAGAAAATTTTTTTTGAATAAATTTTCTTTTAACATTACAGTTCTAAAATGAGCCAACTACTAAATTGTGTGCTCGAGATACATCTTTTCTGTCAAAAATGAAGTACCAAATTGTGAGCTTAAAAGGAGTTAGAATGAATCAAGTTGTGTCATATGACTGAATATTGAAAAGTCATTGATTCACATCACTTTCTTCCTTACTGTGCACAATACTGAAGTAGTTAATGGAAGAAGATGTACTTACCCAATAAACTTAAGCATTTAAACATGTTGGAAAGAGAAGAGAATCATTATATGTTACTACATGAAATAACATACCTGATATGTGTGACAAAAATTTTAAGTTACTTAAAATCAGTCCCACTGATACAAAAATCGAAAGCAGAGTCAAAGCCAGGTATGGTGCTTGTAGTCCCAGCTACACGGGAGGCTGAGGCTGGAGGATCACTTAAGGCCAGCAGTTTGAGGCTGTAATGCATTATGATTGTGCCTGTGCATAGCCGTTGCACTGCAGCCTGGGCAACATATCTTAAAAAAAATAATAATAAAAAACAAGAGACATACTAGGAACAGTGGCTCACACTTGTAGTCTCAACACTTTGGGAGAATGAGGTAGGAGGATCACTTCAGTCCAGGAATTCAGAACCATCCTGGCAACATAGTGAGACTCTCTTCTACAAAAAACTATAAATTAGCTGGGCCTGGTGACACACACTTGTAGTCCCAGTTACTTGGGAAGCTGACGTGGGAGGATCACTTGAACCCAGGAGGTCAGTGCTGCAGTGAACTGTGATTGATTGTGCTGTCACACTCCAGCTGGGCGATAGAGCAAGACTGCCTCAAAAAAAAAAAAAAAAAAAAAAACCAGAGTCATAGGAATGTATATCTATTTAACACAATTGTGCATTACTGGGTTTAGTTAAATTCTCATTGCAGTTTTATTTGGAGGCAAGATGTAACAGGTGAAACAGATATAGAATGATATAATAAGATAGCTGCTACAGTGTTTTACGACAGTCTTCACTGAAAGCCAATGAAAGCATTTCACACATGAGGCAACAAAGGTACGGAAAGGGTAAGATCCTTGACTGAGATTATACAGCAGGTATGTGCCAACACAAAATATAAAAAGCAAACTTGTATTCCACAGATTTGAGCAATAGAAAAGGAAGAGGTTAATGTAAGCTGGAATCATTAAGAAAAACTTCATTTTTGGTGGTGGTAGTGGAAGGAATTGTGATAAGGAAGGAAATATACTGCTACAAAAGGTATTAAGTCTATTTACAGCAGAGGTTTCTCCCCCCCCGCCCCAAATATGATAATACACAGGTTTAGAAGGGGAAATTATAGGTTCTTAAGTTGGGGCTTAAAGTGATACTGTGTTTAAAGAAACAAGTGTGGCAATATCATGGATAATGGGAGGGGGGAGGAGGAGGAGACCTTTGAGTGGCAAGACCTTCTGAAGTAATTGAGATACAAAAAATGAAAGTATATTTCACCATGGTAAATGGACATGAAGGAACAGAACTCCAGTATATTTTTAAGAAAGTGCTGGAAAATTTGGTAAATGATTAAATGTGAAAGAGAAGGTATCAAAGGTCACTGGTAGTGTTTTGAGTCTGGCCAGGAAAATAATGGT